AGAGAGAGAGAGAGAGAGAGAGAGAGAGAGAGAGAGAGAGAGAGAGAGAGACAGACAGACAGACAGACAAAGGATCAGACAGAGGTATGCATGGAATTGCTTACCTTTTGAGATGCAGCCAACACTTTATCCAGGAAACGGAGCCATTCGAAGACAAACACAGGTCTCTTTGACTCAGGAATGCGCTTTAAGGCTTCCTCATTCAGCAATAAACTGTGCGCTAATTCCATTATTATGCCCTGGGAGAGGAAAAAAAGAGTAGGTAAAACTGATCTGGAGTGTACATCACAGGCTTTATTGGTCCTACTAAAATTATTTCACTTCAACTGTTACTGTTTGTTTACTGTTGACCCACTTAAGTAACTGTCAGACAGCTGACTTTATCTAACAGTCATGTTGTGGCTCATTTCGAACTACACTAGACACAAATCAGAAACATGAATTTTTGCATATCTCACGAGTCTTGTAATTTGCCTTTCTAATTTTTAGCGTAATATAATTTTAAAAATTGAGATAAAAAATCTGTACATGTATAAAAATTTATACAGTCAAACCTGTGTAAGACAGCCACCCATTGTCAAGGAGAAAAGTGGCCGTATAAGACAGGTGGCCGTCTTAGGCAGGACTGATCAAGTAAAGGAAACAAACCATTCCCATCTGAGGCCCCAATCGAAAGTAGCCCCAATGTTGTTGTCTTTGTTGGTGTTGTTGCTGTTGGTTTGTATTTCGTTTGTAATTTTTATTTTGACGCTGATTCTGCACAATGGTGACAATAAATCGAAATGTATCAGACAAAGAAGACAGAGTGACTGAGAGTGCCGTGTTAAAACAAACACATGGGTCGCCACCACTCCGAGAACGAGGGACGCTTCTGTAACAACTTCATGTTGACGTCCTTTGTTACCTTGTTACAGACTGGGTAAACAGTGACCACTCATCTCACTTACCATTTGAGTATGAGTTCTGGGCGGGGCTTATGGGTTATGAGGGATCACACGCTTACCTCACCAGCAGCTGAAAATTGGTAGCTATTGGTCAACAGTAGGAGGGGCCTACGCAACATGATCGGTTGGAGGGACTACCAAACAACAACGACAGGTGATTGAATTATCACGGCTCGCCCACAACGCCAGGGGTCAATGCACAATTTATGACAAAACGTAATGGAGTCACTAAGGTGACCGTCTTAGACAGGTATTATTGCTTAGTATTATAGGGGTTGTGTGTTAAATTATTGTGGCCGCGGCCGCATTGGACAGGTGCCCGTTTTACAGTTAAATTATATTGAAAAAACGCAAGGGGGGAAATGGAAAGTGCCCGTTTGTACAGGTGGCCGTCAGGGCAGGTTCGACTGTATATATATGACATATAACCAGGTTATTATTTTTCTACAAAAGTACTGCATAAAGTCATATGAGCGTGCGGGACACTTTAAGTCTAACTTTTGTAACGTCTACTGCCATTGTTAACGACCAAGACAAATTTCTCCCTGCGAGATGAATAAAGATTGTCATTGTCATTAATATTTTCAGTTGATAGGAAATTTTGAATTTTGCCCGGGTGGCGGCCGAAGCCTACTCTTATCGATTTTAGACCACCAAGGGATCTTTAACGAGCGCAACTTGCACACGGGCCCTCCAAGATTTTTTGCCCTTGTCCGAGAAGGCTAGGTGTAGATCTTTCCTACCAGAAGATCAGGGGTGTGGCAGAAAGACAGGAGGAGCCAAGGAGTAGCAGTAGAAAGGCTGCAGAAAGAGTCAGGAGCCCAGAGGAGAGGGCAAAGGAGGTGAGGGGGTGGGGGCAGAAAGTGGAAATGAAAGTAGACAACAGAACATTGCTTGAGAGAAGGAAAGGAGGTGAAAGGAGACAATTTTAGAGAAGAAAATTTTTCGGTCGCTACCCGGATTCGAACCCGGGACCTTGGAATGAGAGGCCAACACCTTAACCTCTAGGCCACGAGAGCCCCCTATGCATTTTGTGTCTTTTAGTAAGAGTTTCACAGCACTTTGCTTTGCAACATTTAAGTTACTACACAAGTGCCGAAGATTAGAGGCGTATCAAGAGATAACAAACACAAAAATGAAAGACAATATAATGATGACAAATGTTTGACAGGAAAGAAGGAGCAAACCACAGCAGAGCACTCGCCACCGGTCCACATTTTGTTTACAGTTCACAACAGAAGCTACAAAGTTAAAAAGAGGAAAGAAATAGAGAGAGATGTCTCTTCAGGTTGGTAATTTAAATAATTAGTACCATTACAATCAACTTGAAAGACCAAAAAGGGCTAGGAGGAAGTCTGCAGCACACCGCAGCCCTCTCTCGCTTCACCCGCTGCGTGTGCTTGCAGAGGCGTGGCTTGCTCTATCACTGCGTTACTCTCTCTCTCTCTTTCACTCACTTTTTACACATTGAATTTTGTTAATGAGCCTTTGTCCCTGCTTGCTATAACTGAAAGGGCTCTGATGAGGCCCTGTTATTGCTAAAACTAATAGACAAAGAGTAGGAAAAAAAACTGGGATTTAAAAAACTGGGATTTAAAAAATCCCAGTTATTACCAGATCCCTGTTATTACCGGGCCTGTTATTTATACGGTTTCCACTGTATTGATATATTTTTCTAGTACTTTTGGGGCTAAACGCAAAGATTGCCAAACCTCCTCTTATCATGGGAGGGGTGGGAGGCTTTGTCTCTCAAACCTCCTAGTATAATATAAAATCTGACAATCCTGGTCTCACAGCCATTGTCCTGCTTTTTGCTACCACCAAAATCATCATCAATGCCTTCACCCCTGGCAGGGTATAGGCCACCAACAAGCTCCTTCCATTTATCTCTGTCCTGGGCCATCCTTCCAAACTCGTTCCAAGTGAGCTTCATCCCTCTCATCTCCCTTTCCACGCATCTCCTCCATGTTTCCCCAGCCTCGTGCTCCTTGTGGGTTCCACTGCAGTTACTGTCTTGTGATGTTTCCGCTGGGCGTTTTTGCTTATCATGTGTTTCTGTAACAGGCTCTTTTTACGAGAGAGGTTGTTAGTCTCATGACTCAACCCCCAACATGGAGGCAGGGTGACTCTGTTTCAGGAGTCACTACTTGGTTCGCCATGTAGTCGCCTCGTACGACACGCCAGCACAAAATGTCAGTCCTATTCTTCTCAATGCCGGGACTGCACGGCAGAAAAAAGGTGTAAATAAAACAAAATTTTAAAAGTTACGGAAGGAATTCCGTAATGAGTGACCACCCCAAGAATGCCAATAAAATGTTGAAAACTCAATAAATTATAAAGAAGGGACCTCTATAACTATAACCCCAACCCTATTAACCCTCTCTATCTCTATTTATAGCGGTCGCTAGAGTTACAGAATTCCTCTCATCAAAAGTGACATGATATAAGGTCACCTTCAAACCTAATCAAGGCTAATCAGGGGGGTCTCCTGGCCTAGAGGTTTTTAAAGGTGTTCGCCTCTCATTCAAAGGTCCCGGGTTTGAATTCGGGTAGCGACCGCAAAATTTTCTTCTCTATAAAATCGTCTCCTTTCACCTCCTTTCCTGCTACCTAGCAATGTTCTGTTGTCTGCTTTCGTCTCCACTCTCTGCCCCCACCCCCCTCACCTCTTTTGCTCCCTCCTCTGAGCTCCTGACTCTTTCTGCAGCCTTTCTACTGCCACTCCGTGGCTCCTTCTTACTGAGCTGCTGTCTTTCAGCTACACCCCTGATCTTCTGGTACGTCAGATCTACACCTAGCCTTCTCGGATTTATAGGCGATAAATCTCAGAGGTCCTGTGTGAAAGTCGCGCACATTAAAGATCCCTTGGTGGTCTAAACTCTATAAATAGGAGTAGACTTCGGCTGCCATATATGGGCAAAATTCAAAATTTCATACCAACTGAAAATATCTAATGTGTTCCGCGCACTCATATATGACCTTACGGACCTGTGAGCGTCGTAAAACAAAACCAAAAAACAATCAGACACACACAAGTAAGGGGAAACAAAATCGTGTTCTTGGAATTTCCTATAACATTGCTTAAAATCTTAAAAATGTAATTCTTATCTCTGCTCGACTGCCACCCTAATTTGACGACGCTGATTATAAAAAATGTTATAAAATATGTTTTTGTCTACGTGAAGCAGCAGCTCTGAAATGACCATTTAAAATGGTTGGTTCCCAGTCCAGTCCGGTGACATTGAGATCACGCAAACCGCAGAACCCGGGTTGGTGATGGCGAGACGGCATTGAAAGTTCACGACCTCAGTGCTCTCTTGTCATCTTCATTTTTAACAACAGTGAAAACAGTACATTTATAACAAAGAGTGAGATTAAGAAGTTACATTTTCACTGTTAAAAAAAGGAGATACGACAAGAAAGCACTGAGGTCGCGAGTTGACAGTGAGGTGCCCTTCCCAGTTTTTCGGCATATAAGTAATAAGAATGTAGTTAGGATTCCGATTTATAAAGCCGACAACGCCGATCGGTGCTTAAAGCCACCTGCAGTCTGCCAGCTCTAAGTGGGGCAAGTTGGAAATCATAAGGGAATTTTTATAGTATGGGCTACCTATCGGCACTTACAGAGTCTGTCTCTGAAATCAACGTTCTCTATGTTTTCGCCCATAACCCATGTCTCGCTATTCTCACCACGGGTGAGATAACCCATGGATGTCTCGCTATTCTCACCCCCCCCCCCCCACCCCCCCGGTGAGAATAGCTCCCACCCCAGTGTGGGCATGAGGCGAGGACCACCCCCTGACCTCTTGCAGGCCGATAAAATCACCTCATAGGGCCTTTGGTGGCTTACCATATATGTGGTTGGGAACGAATTATAATATTTACTAGAATCTATAAACACATTTTTCGCCTCTCCACCAGTAAAAAAAAAAAAAAAGGCTCACCACCGACCCTACTGAGCAGGATGTGGGACCGACCGCTGGCCGGACTATTCGTTGTTTACACACTGACTTAATGATGGCAGGCCTCTCACTCTCTGCCTGCACACAATAAAGTATAGTATGGTTCAAGGAACAGAGAGCGTGTACAATCGCAACGAGACAATTTAAATGCTCTTGCATGATGGTAGAAGGGTTGAAAATTATTCAGACCAAATGGGCGAGGGCGTTAAATCGTGTTAACCAGTTTAATAATTTTACAAAGCAATCCATGCTCTTTCCTTCACTTTCATTTTTTTCCCCTTTTATTCTTCTTGCCTCTTCTGTCCCCTTCTTCTTGAACGTTTGGAGCCAAAAAAAGAGAGCCAAAGAGCCAAAGAAATTCTCCGGGCCAGACGCGATCCAAAAGAGCCAAATTTCTCGGATTTGGCTCCAATCTGACAACCCTGACTGTGACTAGATCTAGATCTATTTGGACAACACCAAAGACCGTATCCAACACAATCCTGTGGAGCACCAGACCCGGTAACCTCAGCCTTGATCCCTCTTGGGTCATTTCTGGTAAAACAAGGGAGAGGGTGAGAATAGCGAGACATAGGTTATTCTCACCCCTAATAGGCCTTTCCGGCCTAAATACCTTGCCTAGCCACAATGACTAGATCTAATCTTAACTGAATGAATGGTGGTTCCAATGGAATTTCTAGCGGAGGAGAGACCTTGTTTACCTAGATTCTAAGTTACTAGAATCTCTACATTTTCTAGAGATCTAGATCTAGATCTAGAGTAAAGAGTACTAATAGAGAGAGATCTCATCTAATGTGGGCTAAACCAAAATTGACACCTAGAAAATAGCCTACAAATCAAAGCACCGATCCTGAAACTGAAAATGAGTGGCGGCACTGGCTGGTGGGTGTGTCACCATGTATGTCCAAGTCCTCAGCCTCAGCGTAGATCTAGATCTAGATCTATATCTAGATCTAGTTTTAGATCTAGATCTAGATTCTAGGCTTACACTTACAGAACACACAACTATAAATCTAAACTAGATTCTAGATCTAGATTTTTAGACCAGACGACACACACCCACAAATCAAAGTGTGACGAAAGTAAAAGTAAAAGCTCTGCTGGAGCATCAACTACTAAGAATACTAAGCTCACAAGTACAAGCGACAAAAAGAAAAGAGCCTGGATCCGGTATACTCATAAAAAGGTAAAAACAATGCCAGACAAGAGAAAAAGACCCCCAAAAAGCACCATGACTCCAACCTCAACCAGCAACCTCGAATATTTAGACTTAGATCAACCTCAGTCTCACTCCCCTGACTTTTGTGGCTTACAAATGTTATAACGGCCAACTCGACTAACGGGCAAACGGTTACGAGACGATAATATCTGTCCTCACCTTCTTGAAATTAAAAGCAGAAATTAACAATCCATTGAGTATATCCGTTGGTGGCTTTTCAAACAACAAACAACACACAACCAGTAAATGGCTCAGTAAGAAAGCAAGTCTGCCTTCTCACTTCTCACACAAACACACTTCAAGCAGCCGCAACATCAACACAGAACAACGAACGAATCGCACGATCAAGCAGAATGAGATGAGCCAGGCCAAGATAGAGTTCGTCTACTAATATTGCCAGACTTTTGCCCATCTAAACATTGGGTTTCTTACCCAGAAAGATCTAATTATTAATTAAATTTGAATACATTCTTTCATGTGATCGTAATATTTAAAATGATATTTGAATAAAGAATACTGATTATAAAACGAATATTGCTTTGAAATCAATTTTATCAAAACATAATCTAATATATTGCACAAATATAACTGCTAAGACACAAGTAATGTTACAACCTGGCATATTCCTATGACACACCTTTCTTGCATGCGTCATTGCCTGGGCCTCGGCAAGACGGACCATCTGAAGAAAACTGAGGTTTTGAAAAAGCTGGAAAAAAACAAACACAAAATGATTTATTATTGTTATCAAACAATTGTAGTAAAATATTGCAAAAGCCTTCCAAGTTATAAAGTACACATAGAACAAGAGGAAAAATAAAAGATTTATCTCACAAATTATACATTTGATTCTAGTTTTCACTTCACTGTTGTGGCCAAAGACATGTAAATGCGTATTCCAAGAAGAGGCCAAATTAACAATAATACAGATCGAGTTGAGCTATCGACAGGCAGCCCACTGGAGAAGCCTGATTGAATACTTCATTTCATTCATGTAGTTAGAAGTATCGTGTTAGATGCCTGCTTTAATCGCTTGAATTGATGATGGAATTTAATGAGCTTTGAATAAAGCGATAGACTTGAGGAAACACATATTATAATATCACATGTACGACATACACTTTTGACAATTATTAACCTATGATATGTATTGTTATACAATGTACTGGTTTGGGGGGGGGGGGGGGGGGGGTAATTACATCTTTCTAACGTTAAGGTTTTTAAAAATTCCGATGTTGGGATAAATATGTGAATCAATACCTCGTATATGGATGTGAAAACAGTAGGATAACCGTTAATATAGTGCTCTGCAATAAATTCACTCACAATGGTTTAACTGGTCATATTGTGCTGAAATTACTTATTATAATCATTTTAGGTTGTTTTATTATCTAGTTGTTGTGAACCCCTATAAGAATGGAATAAGAGCATAGGTTTGAAAAGAAAAGGGTACCGGTTGTTTTTTTAAAAATTGTTGTTGTTGTTTTTTTGTGTTTTTTTTGGGGGGGTTGTTTGTTTTGTTTTTTTTGGGTTTTTTTTCTTTAATTGTAACGAACAAATTTTCTCTGTTGGGAAAAAAACCCTGTCATTTCACATTTCCCCCCTCAATATTTAAAAATAAAATGTCATTCCAATCGTAGATTCTTCGACTGGTCCGTTGTGGACTCAAGCTGTGATTTTTGTGTCATTTCCACCACCACCACCAACAGAATAACAATAAAAACAACTTAAAATAAAAAATATTCTTAAAATCCACCCTCTGCGTATTCTCCTCAAGTTTCATATTAGTCTTTTCTTGACAGCTGGGGGTGTGTTGCAAGGATCTGTGAGTGATCTTGAATGACTATATATCCTACAGTGTGTACAAACTGAATTTTACTTTATCGAAATTTTAAGGACTTTGCTAAGACAACAAATATACGCAACGTTTATTTATACGAACAGAGACCAAGAGGCAGGCAGATATAAAGAGATGGGAAGATTCCATCACAGAAAGGACTGGTCTGGCAATGATTATCGAGGGACGCATCGAAAGAGACAGAGAACACATATATAATAATATAAAGGGTGAATACGGCGTCAATAGCTCGCATTGGTGCCCTCAATTTAGTAAGAAAACTAGACAAAGCGTGACACAAGGACAATAATGTAGCAGCGCAGCGCAACTATAAATAAAATCAAAAACTGCTACTGCTATTGCATTTTATTCTGCGAAAAAACTGTTTAGGTGAAAGTACACCCTGAAAGCACTATCTAAACAAAATAATATAGTGGATCCGTCTCTTATTGCCTGCCAAGAGCGATGCCCCGTGTACTCTGTATTTCCCGTTTCCGGTAAGAGGACAAATTTGGTTGTTTGGTTGCGATGCGCCAGAGGTCGCTCTCCATTGTTATGCTTGTTTTCTTTCATTAGGCCTACTGTCAAAACGCAAAGAAACACTGACTGGTATGGAGAAAAGTTGCGCAAGAAACGGAAACGGGAGGAACTCGGTTTTAAAAAAATTGCTAAAATTCTGAGTGCTTGTGCGATCCCGGATCTTTCTAAATCTAGATCTATAATCTAGATCTAGAATATACTCTCAATTTTTGGCTAGATCTAGATCTACCCAATTTTTAACTGAAACTTGGGAAAACAACAACAAGGTACGTCGGTGCAGCGTCTCTGGTCGTCATTGTATTTTTCATGAATCTTTTTTGAGTAAATCTAGAATCTATCTAGATTCTAGATCTAGATCTAGAATCTTGATCTCTAGATCTAGATCTAGAATCTAGATCTAGATCTAGATTCTAGATCTATCTAGATCTAGATATAGATCTAGATCTAGATTCTAGATATAGATATCTAGATCTAGAATCTCTAGATCTTGATCTAGATCTAGATCTACTAGACTCTAGATTCTAGGGTCTAGATTCTAGATCTAACTCGACTCACACTCACGACACTCACGTCGTTGTCGTTATAATATAATTTTATAAGGGACTGCCATTTTATAGAGCACAAAAGTTAAGTGGGGAAAGGAAAGAAGATGTCTAGACTAGATCTAGATCTAGATCTAGTTCTAGATTATCCAGATCTATCAATATCTAGATCTAGTTCTAGATCTAGATCTAGCCCTTCGAATTCGAGATATTTTTGTCTGAACTAGATCTAGATCTAGATCTATCTAGATTAGAGAGCTTGACAAGACGGTAACCGGGCACGTAGCCTCAGGGTCTACATACACGGTAACCGGCAACCGGGCGCCTCTCATTATCTAAGAACACGGTAACCGGGTATTTAGTTTTGTGGAGGAGGAGGGGGGGGGGGGGGGGGCTTGAACTAGGTGCACAGTAACTGTTTTGCTCCATTCGTGACGTTGGCATTAATTTTTCCTTTTTCACCGTGTAGTCTCAATGTCACAAACACGGTAACCGTGCGCGCAGCCTAATATCTACGAACACGGTAACCGTGTACTTAGTTTCGGGGGGGGGGGGTGCGGAAGGGGGCTTGAGCTAGGTGCATGTACGGTAACTGCTTCGTTCCCTTCATTATCATGACGTTGACCTTTTTTCTTTTTTCACTGTGTAGTCTCAATGTCACACATTCTCAGTAACCGGGGGCTTAGCCTCAATATCTACGTACACGGTTGCCTCTCATCATCCATGAACACGGTAACCGGGTATTTAGTTTCGAGGGGGTGGGGGTGGGGGGGCTTGAGCTAAGTGCACAGTAACTGCTTTGCTCCCTTCATAACCTTGACCTTTTTCCTTTTTCATCGTGTAGTCTCAATGTCATATATACACGGTGACCGGGCGCGTAGCCTCAATATAATCTACGTACACGGTAACCAGCAACCGGGCGCCTCTCATTATCTACGAACACGGTAACCATGTATTTTGTTTTTTGGGGGAGCTTGAGCTAGATGCACGGTAACTGCTTCGCTTCCTTCATGACCTTGTCACTCCGCTTTTTGTGTGTTGTGAGCGGAATGTAATCCCACAAATGATCCCAATCTACCACTTGTCATCTTTCCTAAAGGAGAGCAAAATGCAGTGACACTGAAAACCTGCGAATCTGGAACAGAAAGCTAAAATACGATGTTTACTATTAAACATGTAATACTATCACGAGAGAGAGAGAACAAGACTCAGAAAACAGAGAGAGGGAGAGAGAGAGAGAGAATTTTTTTTAAGTATGCACTTGATGAGGTCACACCTCTCTTAAACAAAAGGACAAAGAAACAAATGTACTATCACCCATCCAATGAAACGCGGACCTTTTAGTTAAAAAACACGGCTTACTAGGTATGAGTATGACGGATCCCAATTCCGTACAGGGCTTGCACCAATGTACGCTTTTCCGTAGCAAGGAAGCTCTAGTAATAATCAAATTTCTAAATACCGTACTAAAATTAAATTTGCTTCCAAGTTCAGTTTTTGTCATCCGGTGTTGCCTTCAACCCTACCCCTCCCCCCGACTGTACCTTTAAAAAAAATCAATAATCCCCCCATTCCGGAGCCCTGTGGGCCATTCCAGCGTAACGAACGTCACATTCAGAGCATTTTTTGGGTCTATTTTTTAACCCAGCTGTGTTGCATTTTTAGTTCAGAGCCGTAAAAATTGTGTCAGTATAGCATCACCAATTGTCAACAAGGTGCTATCTACAGTTCAGAATGCTTTTTTAGATGTACATCTTTGAGATAACTGCAGCGAAATGGACGTCACGGATTTGGACAAAGAGTTTTGTGTCACCTTAGACATGCTGAAAACTCTCTGAATTTTGCAATGCAAGACACAGACAAATTTGTTCGGGCTATAACTAAGAAATTGAAGAACACTTTAAAAAAAAAAGCTTGTTAAAATGTCTGTTTTTAGTCAGAAGATATAGCCCAGAATTTGTGTAACGGACGTCACGTAACGGACGTCACCGATTTGTCGACTGCTATATTGCAGTATTACATTTCAAGTGGTCTAGGGCCCTAAACGTACATGATACCCTTCTATATCTTTGTTATATAAGGCAAATAGATGAAAAAGCTTGTGTAAGTGTAAAGAATTGATACTTCTTACTTACTTTGCTTACATCCACATGCACGTACAGGGCTTGCACCAATGCACGCTTTTCCGTAGAAAGGAAGCTCTAGTCATAATCAAAGTTCTAAATACCATACTAAAATTAAATTTGCTTCCAAGTTCAGTTTTTGTCATCCGGTGTTGCCTTCAACCCTACCCCTCCCCCCCCCGACTGTACCTTGTATGATTTTGACTCAAAACACAAAGATCAGGGTACAGCTAAAATTGATGGATTTCACATGTGACGTCCGTTACGCTGTATATTTCACATTTCAATGTTTAAAGCAGGGTTGGTGATTTATTTATTTATTTATTTTTTTTTTTTTTAAATCGATTTTTAAAATTTAAATCAGACTTTTTAAATTTAAATCGGATTTTTTTTTTTTTTTTTATTTTAAAAAAAAATGTCGACACAGTTTGGGATTTTTGGTGGCTAAAAGTAAGTTCTTTTAGTGCAAAATACATTGTCTTTATTTTAACTAATGATTAATTTAAGCAACTGCAATTTTAGAAAGCCTTAATCTGCTATATCAGTGAATTATAAATGGCTACAGACAAAAAATGAAGAAAATGTCAGTCTAAAAGGAGGGGGGGGGGGGGGGGGGTAATTATGCATAGATAAACTTGCATTTTACTACAGTGTGTGTGTGTGCGCGCGCTTGTGTTTGTCTAAAAAGAAAAAAATGCTAATTTCAATTTATGAAAAAAAAGTTAAATATACAGTATTATTTTACTACTTACAGTGACAGGGGGGGAAGCAGACTTTTAAGCATGATTATTTTAGTCTACTAAACCTTATATCTGTTTTATAAAACCAAGGAAAGGAATTCTGAATGTTTAAAGATGTAAACACAGAATATATTTTTTTAAAGTGATTTAAATCACTGAGTTTTATTTTTAAAATCAAGTTGATTTAAATTTTAAAAAAATCAAAATCAACCCAACCCTGGTTTTCTATTATGAAAAAAAAAGTAAATTGAGAACTGTATTATTTTACAGTGACAGGGGAGAAAGCAGACTTTTAGGCATGATTATATTAATTAACCTTATATCTGTTTAATAAAACCAAGGAAAGGAATTCTGAATGTTTAAGTTTAAATATGTAAAAACTGAATACATTTTTTTGAAAAGTGATTTAAATCACTGATTTTTATTTTAAAAATCAAGTTGATTAAAATAAAAAAAATCAACTGATTTAAATCAACCCTGCTCTGATTTCATTTATGGAAAAAAAAAGTAAATTGAATACTGTATTATTTTACAGTGAAAGGGGGGAAAGCAGACTTTTAAGCATGATTATATTAGTCTACTATACCTTATCTGTTTTATGAAACTAAGGAAAGGAATTCTGAATGTTAAAATGTGTAAAAACTGAATAAAAATACATTTTTTAAAAAGTGATTTAAATCACTGAGTTTTATTTTTAAAATCAAGTTGATTTAAATTTTAAAAATCAACTGATTTAAATCAACCCAACCCTGGTTTAAAGTCAACAATTTTGCATCAAAGTATGTGTTTCAATGTGAAAACAGAAAACAAAAGGAAACAGAAATGGCCTGGGTAGTTTTTAAGTAATCTTAAAAAAACAGTAAAATTATAACGGACGTCACATGAACTTTTGAGGGGTGAAGGGGTTACACACAATGGTATAACATCAGGATGGATGCTAAGATCTTAGAATACTTTCACAGTTTTCTTGCTGTTGATCTTGTTAGATTTAGAAACAAAAGAAACATCAGTTCTGGTGGTGATTTTTATAACAAAACTCTAGCTGAAAGGAAGGCAAATTTCTTGTACGAAAACTTGATCAAGTAAGTTATAGGGTGAGTATGAATACCATGCGATATCTTCACTGCGGGTGGAGATAAAACAAAAATTCAAAAATATGTTACCCCTGAGGTGTTAGGCTATGGAGATAGAAAGAAGTAAGTGTTTTTTCCGACAGGGTCGGAATAGAAGAAAGGGAGTGTGTATATAGACCCGGTTACCGGGAACAAAGTTACGAAGTATACAGTCCCGGTAGGGAAAATCTTTTGTGATTTAGGAAAGTTCAGCGCCCTCTTGGCCAAATGACATGGCTTTTCATCGAAAATTGGACTAGTTCATTGTTTCGTGTACACACAGCGTAGTGCAGCGAGGCTTTAGAGTCCAAGATCGAGTTTATAGAGAGTAGAGTTCTTAGTGACAACAAGTTGTTTACATTTCGGACCATTCATGCTCGAAAAGGAGTCAAAACCTAAAAATAGTTGCGAATGAAGAACGTATAAAAAGCAGTGGTAGCCATGAGGTTGTAATGGCTCTCTATAAATAATCTCACAGCTACACACCAGCAAGGTCCGAATTCATTTAATCTCGTCACCCAAGCACAGACCACACCCACCTCCAAAATAAATAAAAATAAAATATTTATAGTCAATTAAGTTGTTTTTTAAAATCTTAAATGAAGCAGAAATATCAAGCTTTCAATAGATCAAAAAAACAAAAATTGGATGGAAAGTCTCTTTTTTGCCTTTCGAGCCTCATAGCTGATAATAGCACACTGCGTCTTACGACTTATTTTCATCGGGGCGGACAGATATGCTTTTCAAAT